ATTCACAAACTCAAAGGTTGTGATAAAACCCTGAAGATTAAATCTTCAGGGTTTTATCACAACCTTTTGGGTATAAGTTCAGTCTAAATAGGAATCTAGATTATGTTGTTGTAAGTTTGAGATCAATCTTGCTACTGGTATCACCTAACCCAGTACCACCTGCCACAATCCCTGCTGCCTTGCAGAGTGTGCTCTTCTTATGCAAAGGCTAGGAGAAATAAACTCCGACTAAAAATTCCCCTGCCTTGGGGCTCTTGGTTGAGTAAAGGCTAGAGATGGTGTCTCGATAAAAACACTCATCTTGGGCAGATGTTAACTGCATCCAGATAAACATCCCCTGCCTTGGGGCTCTTGGTTGAGTAAAGGCTAGAGATGGTGTCTTGATAAAAATACTCATCTTGGGCAGATGTTAACTGCATCCTGCTACTGTCTTGTAGAAGGCCTCCTAGGCAAAGACTTTAGGGGTAAGCAGAAAAATTCTGCTAACCAGCCTCGAACCCCTTCTTCATCTATTAGGCTTACATAGATGTAACCTGTTTTACATTGTTTCCTGCCTAAGATGATGAATGCTGGATCTCCTTGACTCTACTCATAGAATATGGAGATAACAGGAAGAGTTGCATAGACATTATCATGGAGGCATTTGCTCATGCCTCCATGATAATGACTATGCAACTCTTCCTGTTATCTCCATATGAGGGTACAGCTCTAAAACTCAGTTTAATGGTTCTGAGGCCGGCTGGTAGTAAGGTTTCCCGAACTCTGTGGTAGCTCTCAGAGAGGCTGATTCCATCAACAGCTGCAAAATATCAGAGTATTAACAGTGCCATGTTGCGCATGGATGGTGTCCCTGTTAATGCTTTTGGTGTGCATTGTCAAGGCCACATAAGGAGCCCTATGTCACGGCTTAGGGTTAATTAACAGGACTGAGACAACTGCATAGCTCATTGATTAGGAGGCTGTGCTCTATCTATGAATGAGTCAAGTTCTCATTAAACCCAAATCATGACCAAAGTAACCAAAAATTTCAAACCTAAAAAACCATCCCCACCACCTAAATGTTTTAATATATCTTTTACAAATATTCGCGGTCTACGAAGCAACTTTCCATCAGTTGAGTCTTACCTCCTGCAAAATTCACTAGACTTGCTTGCACTCAGTGAAACAAATTTAAATTCTGCAATTCCTTCTTCAGATGTCAGTGTTGATGGGTACTATCCTTTGATTTGTAAAGACTCCAATAGTCCCATGCTAGGTTTAGGGGTATACATACGCATTAATTCCCCTATTTGTCGTGAAATCAGGTTCGAATCCTTTGACCATTCTTTTATGTGCTTTCGCCTAGCACCTCTTCACTCTATCACCTTTCTCTTTGTTCTTTATTGTTCTCCTTCTTCCCATGATTGCACTCTTTTAGATGTTATCTCTGATCAAATTGACCATGCCCTCTCTCTTTACCCCTCTGCCAATATTGTTGTTGTTGGTGATTTTAATGCCCATCACACTGATTGGCTTGGCTCTAACACCACTGATCCTGCTGGCACTAAAGCCTTTAACTTCTGCGTTTCTCAATCTCTTACTTTAAGTTACTTCTTTAAGTTACTTCTGCGTTTCTCAATCTCTTACTTTAGTTAACTTTGTGACTCGTTTTCCTGACAACCCTAATCATTTACCTTCACTCCTTGACTTATGTCTTGTCTCTGACTCTAGCTTATGTTCAGTTTCTCCCTTTTCTCCCTTAGGTGGTTCTGACCATGCAATGATCTCTATAAATCTTTCTTCTCGTACTTCTTTTTTGGGCTTACCTTATCATCGCACCACCTACTACTACCCTAAAGCTGACTGGGATTCCTTTCGTGATTTTCTTTGTGATGGTCCTTGGGCTGATGTTTTTTCTCTCTCAGCTGACAAATGCGCCTCCTACATAACCTCCTGGATTCAGGCTGGAATGGAAGCTTTTATTCCTTCTAGTCGGTTTCAAGTCAAGCCTCATTCTACTCCATGGTTTTCTCCTTCTTGTGCGGCTGCTATATCCAATCGTAATCATTTTTCTCATCTTTTTCAAAAGAACAACTCTCTTGAGAACAAACAGCTATTTATTATTGCAAGAAATCGATGTAAAAAGGTGCTTTCTGATGCTAAACTCCTCAGTTCTCAGTTCACTAAATCTCGCATCTTATCACAGAAGTTAGGCTCTAAAGACTTTTGGAAAATCTTCAACAGCATTGTTAACAAGGGTAGATCTAACATTCCATCTCTCATTCATGGGACTGATTTTGTTACCTCTCCCAGGGATAAGGCAGAACTGTTTGCAAAGAACTTTTCTTCAAATTCCACTCTTGAATCTTATGGACATTCTCTTCCTTCCATTCCAGTCAAACATGTTGACCAATTGTTAGACATTCAAATCACTCCGGCTTCTGTTGCTAAAGTCATATCTCAATTAAACTCGTCTACAGCTTGTGGTCCAGACAACATTCCTGTCACAGTCTTGCAGAATTGTTCTCCAGAACTTTCTTCAATTCTCTCTAAACTATTTAACAAATGTTTGACTGAGTCTTGTTTTCCTGCTTGTTGGAAAATGGCATCTGTGGTTCCATTAAGCTTGATGGTCTGAATAAGCTTGTGGAGGGTCAGGAAAATGTTCTGAATATCATGTTTCAGAATTCATTGAATATCGGCAACAGAAGCATTAAATTTGATAATCAAAGATCATTTGAAACGATACAAAAGAAAAAGATCTCATCCTGACGGATATAAGCAATGCATTTTGCAGAGCATTGATTTCAACAGCAAACATCTATAAAATTATTGAAAAAACCTAAACTAAATAATATTCATAAAAATCACACAAAAAAATGTAGTGTTTGCATTAAATTTTTATGAGCTCATTTATGATTTTTAGAAATGTATCTTGTTTTTATTCTATTCTTGTTTTTCTGAGAAAAAATAAAAAAAATTTTATTAGTTCTTCACAGTCTGTTTTTTTGTTTTTTTTTTAATTCTTGTTTGAATTTAAATCCTGTAGGAACCCTGTAAGTTGGTATTTATTATAAAAAATCTTTTTTTTTTTTCCTAAATTTATTTATGACTATATTATTTTTAAATTTATTTATGACTATATTATTTTCAAATTTGATAACAGAATTTGAAGAATCTGAAGAACAGAAATATGAGTTTGGAACAACAACTAAGGAAGATTTAAATGAATGGATAGACCTGCTAAAGTCTGCAAGGTAAAAAATATATGTTATAAATATTCTCTAAATAGTCTGATTTTTAAGCAACATTAATGTCAGAATAGTGTTTAAAATTGTAGAATGTTAAAAAATTATTATTAGTTATATTATGGGTGTATATAGTATTATTTAAATGGTTGATTTTATATTGATGGGTGTTTATATTTGAGATTTTGTAATGGGTGTTTGTATTTTAGAAAGTTCAATTAAACTTATTAAATATTAAACTTATTAAATATTTAAACTTATTTTAATAAATTAAATTACAAATTGAATCCAACATCAGAAACAATGTACTAGTAAGAAACAGTATACTAGTAATGCATTCAACATAAAAAACAGTTTACTAGAAATGCATTCAACATAAGAAACAGTTTAACAGAAATGCATTCAACATAAGAAACAGTTTAATAGAAATGCATTCAACATAAGAAACAGTTTAATAGAAATGCATTCAACATAAGAAACAGTTTACTAGAAATTCATTTAGTTTAATATTTTATTAAGTCCTAATATTGAATTTAATTTTGCAATGAATAGTGTATTTCATATTACATTTTTTTAATAATAAGTAAATCAGTGTTAAAATATTTTTCAGCTACGAGAAACTCTATCAGACTATGCTTAAGTTACAGCAGGAGATACTAGAGAAAACCGGCCAGGTATGAAAATTGAGCTAGCCTTTTTATGTGTGACCATGTATAAAAAATAGGCCTTCTTGTGTGAGGTATGAAGTTTGTTCTTCTCATGTGTATGTGTAATCTCAAATTCTTTATCCAAAAGTTTTATATTAGATCTTTATAATCAAAAATATTCAATAAGTAAACATATGATGAATTAAGATTTAAATTATGTTTTAAATTTAAAAAAACTGGGATGCACAAGTGTTAAAAATTTGTAATGGGTGAAAATTAAGAGAATTTTAAAATTAGGTTTTTAAAAAGGCTGAGATGAATATATGCTAGAATACAAAGTTAGGATAGAGTTGCTGAGTAGAAATGTGGTGTTGGTAAAGATACTTACTTAAGTTGTTGAAGTGTTATAAATTGTTAAAAATTTGTAGAAATATGTCAGAATAGACCTATTGATTTAATAATTAGTCTTAATAAAAGACTTTGTTTAAACTATTAACTTTAAAGATCATTTATCTACATTAATCATTATACATGAAAAGTTGAATTTTAATATTGAAATGCTAAATGTATAATTTCTAGTTAAAGTACTAATTAGTAAACATTAAATACTCTAACTTTAGTAAATACACACCCTAAAGCGTCATCTTTTTTTTTTTTTTTTAACGTATTTTTTAAAGTTTGTAAACTGTTTAAACTTAAAATTTTTAAATAAAGTGTTAGTTTGAGAAAAACTTTTGAATACGAATTTGTCTTAATAAAAAATTTTGTTTAAACTTTATACACCTAGATCATTCATCTACATTAATCATTATACATGAAAAGTCAAATTTTAATTTATCCTAACTACCTCGGACAAATTTCTAAGTTTCGATCCTAAAAGATGTTGCCATATTATTTGAGCACTTTCATTACATGCAATTATTTGTAATTTTAAAAGTTATTCTAATATTTCATTGAATTTTTTTCTTGCTTTTAAAAGTCTGATTTGTAAGCATTATGAGATTGATTGTTATGAATGTATAATTGGTTGAATTAAATATATATTTTTTTTCTTTTTTTTTTCTTCTCAAAGGTATTTTCTATTTAATGTTATTATAAATATTATTTATCAAGGATCCGTTGCCAGACTATCATCCAAGAGTAGGAAATAAAGTAGGTGGCATATAAATTTAAAATCTAATTCACTTAATCTTTTGTTTGGCATCCTTAAACCAAATAGAATAATAATCTTTAAATACAAAATATTTTTTGTATTGATTTGTTTCATATATTATTAGAATTCTCTTTCCAATTATTTTTCTTTTTATGTAGTTTTAATAATTTATTAAATTTTAGTTTTATTTTATTTTATTTATGTAAGACAATAGATGTGAACAGTCAAAGGGTACATACATCAAGTTTAACAGAAAGCGACTATGACAACGCTTTTATGGAAATCTGTTTAGGTATTAATATAAAAATTTTATCACAACATCCATAAGTAAAGGCTAGCAGAGAGTTTTGATATAGTTAAAGGCTAGCACAGGGTTTTGATTCTAAACCACATGGTTTTAAGGTCAATATAAAGAAAGAAATCTTTGAAAATGTCATAAAATGAGAGAAATTAGGCAGAAGGTAGTTTTTAAAATGTTTTTAAGGAAAAATCTAATGAACAAGGATACCACTATTCTCTACTACCGCAGCTCTCTGTTAGTTACTGCATATGGTTGTTACATTAACTCTATATTAGTTACTGCATATAGTTGTTTTGTTTTGCAATTAAAGTTTTTCGATCAAGATATCATTTAAACTATTGAATATTTAAACAATCAAGATATGATTTAAATTTTTAGCTTGTGCAAACCTGGCACCTCAAAATGAACCACCGCCAGCTACAATGGTGAAGATATTTACCATGGAGCCTCCTTCATTTGAATGGTTCAAGTATTCTCAAACTGAAGTTTGTGAGGTAAATCATTTAAAACCTTTTTAAAATCAACAAAATCTTATTTTTCTAAAAGTATTTAAAAACCAAGAAGTTTTTTAATCAACAACAAAGAAGAGTATTTTTCAAAATAAATTAGTTATATTGATTTTAGAAAGTGTTATTTGTTGTTGTTTTATTATATTGTTAAAATATTTATATATTTATTAATGTAGGAATCTCATGAGCCCAATTTTTTTAAAACAATAACACTGGGATCAAAGCTTCAGCTTTCAACTCGACTGAAATTTGTTATCTTTAGTGTTACAAGTAAATCAAAAAATGATGTAAATTTATTTTCTCTTTTTTATGTTATGCTTTTTATTATATTTTTCTTTTCTTCATTCAAAGTTGCAGTAATAAGTAATGAAATCTTTTTTTGTTTTATGAGGTTGAAGCTATTGGAAGTGCTGTCTGTACTATTAAAGATATTAAAGAAGCTAAAAATTGTCAAATGACCCTGAGCATAATGTAGGCATATTAAATTTTTTAATAAAACTTTTTTGAAATATTTTGTTTGTTTTATAACATTTAGTTGACTAGCTGGTCTCAGTCAAATCTGGCCTGCTAAGCACAAATATATAAACAATTCTTGTAATTTTAAATTTATGTTAAATTTAGGTTCTATTAAAGACAATGTAACAATTAAAAATCTAATCTAAACACGTTTGTTTACCTGTATTTTGAATTTTGATACAGATAAATATGCTGTAATACACATAAATATGCTGTAATACATATAAATATGCTGTAATACATATAAATATGCTGTAATACATATAAATATGCTGTAATACACATAAATATGCTGTAATACATATAAATATGCTGTAATACATATAAATATGCTGTAATACACATAAATATACTGTAATACACATAAATATGCTGTAATACACATAAATATGCTGTAATACACATAAATATGCTGTAATACATATAAATATGCTGTAATACATATAAATATGCTGTAATACATATAAATATGCTGTAATACATATAAATATGCTGTAATACATATAAATATGCTGTAATACATATAAATATGCTGTAATACATATAAATATGCTGTAATACATATAAATATGCTGTAATACATATAAATATGCTGTAATACAGATAAATATGCTGTAATACATATAAATATGCTGTAATACAGATAAATATGCTGTAATACATATAAATATGCTGTAATACATATAAATATGCTGTAATACATATAAATATGCTGTAATACACATAAATATGCTGTAATACATATAAATATGCTGTAATACATATAAATATGCTGTAATACAGATAAATATGCTGTAATACATATAAATATGCTGTAATACATATAAATATGCTGTAATACATATAAATATGCTGTAATACATATAAATATGCTGTAATACATATAAATATGCTGTAATACATATAAATATGCTGTAATACATATAAATATGCTGTAATACATATAAATATGCTGTAATACATATAAATATGCTGTAATACATATAAATATGCTGTAATACAGATAAATATGCTGTAAACAAAATATGTACAGTTTAAACTATTGAATAGAAATAAGTTATGTTAAAAAAAAATTAACTTTTGGTTTTCTACCTTTGTTGGTAATATTCATCTATCTTTTTAATATCCTGGTGAAAGTGTTCATTTTGTTTGTCACTCATTTTAAGAATTGGGTAAAAAAAATTTAGATGAAAATCTTTTTATAACCTCTCCTATGTTATCCATGTTATATAGCAGCAACCCTTAAATCAGCACAAACTTTCTAGTTGCAGTCTATGATTGACTTTTCCTCTACATACATTTTTTTTCTAGGAGCTAAAGATTTTTTATAATCCCAATATTTCAGCTTTCTCAATCTTGAGCAAACTGGTTAACCCTTGCTGTTAAATTAAATGTGGTTGTTTTTGGAAGCTATTAAAAAGAGTATGTATTATGATTATTTGGTCCTGCCAGATATACCATTATGCTTTTACCAAAAATACACAAATTTTTTGGGAGTTAGCAAGTATTGGTCATCCCTCAAAATATCCTGTTGTTTTTGTGTAGTGTCTAACGAGTCTGGATATTTCTAACTATAAGAAAATGGTTTAAATACAAATGCTAAATTAGTTAAATGATATTAAAAACACCAAAACGTAAGATTTACAGTCAAGTATACTTCTAATAATTAAAGTAAATATATACTTAACTTAAGTGTTCTATATAATATAATTAAAGTAAATGTATACTTAACTTATGTGTTCTATATAATATAATTAAAGTAAGTATATACTTAACTTAAGTGTTCTATATAATATAATTAAAGTAAATGTATACTTAACTTATGTGTTCTATATAATATAATTAAAGTAAACACATAAGTAAAGTATTTACTTATGTGTTCTATATAATATATTTAAGAAAAATTAAAAAAAGCATCTTATCATTAGAAAGTTTTGGTTGCAATTGAATAAGTAATTCAGTGACCTAATAAGTTATAAATATTAAAAAAGTTGTCACACATTGTAATTGTTTAAAATAATTCTAAATTAATTTTATTAATTAGAAATTTTTTATTTATAACCAAATTTCATTAGGAAATGAATTATAAAGTTGTATTTTTAAATGTTTAAACTTATTACAGGAATCTTGATAAAGTTGTTGGCAATATTATTATTCAAGGCTGGTTGGTATGCAAACATTATTAAAATCATAAATAATTGAAGGTATACTTTGTTAAGTCAAGAATATTTTATTCCAAATAAGTTGTTGTTTTTAGAGAGAAAATGGTTTTTATGACATCACATTAAAAAGCGTATGTTTTTTTTTTTCAAATCCTAACTTTAATGCTTTTATTGAAAAAATTTGTATAAAAAATTAACTATAATTATTTTATATGTAAAATATTTTTTGGTTTAGCTTAGAGTTGGACATCCTAAGTGAGTTTGATTTTTTCCATCTTTTAATTTTTTTAAATTTTAGTTTTTAAAAAAATATTTGGCTATGGCCTAAGTAAAAAAGGTGTAAGCAAATTTTAAATAAGCATGGTTGAGGTGCCAAAATTGCATATACAAACAGTTTTTTGCTTGGGCTTGATAATATTTGCTGCAATTATAAAATTAATTTGCTAAATAAAGTCTGTTAATTTAATAGTACTGTTTAACTTAATTTTGAAAAATATAAGTTAATAAAAATTTAATTAAGTGCTATTGTTATTATTTTTTTCTTCAGAAAAATTATATTTGTTACATAAATAAACATTTCTAGTAGTAAAATAGTAATAAATTTAATACATACAGCATAGAAAACATGCTGAATATATTATATATATATATACAGATATATATATATATATATATATATATATATATATATATATATATATATATATATATATATATATACATACATATATATATATATACATATATACATACATATATATATATATATATATATATATATATATATATATATATATATATATATATATATATATATATATATACATATATATATATAGATATATAGATATACATATATATAGATATATAGATATATACATATATATACATATATATATATATATATATATATATATATATATATATATATATATATATATATATATATATATATATATATATATATATATATATATATATATATATATATATATATATATATATATATATATATATATATATATATATATATATATATATATATATATATATATATATAGAACTCTTTTCAATTTTCTCTAAACTTTTTAATATGTGCTTGACTGAAAATTAGAACAACAGATGCCATTTTTCTGCCTGCTGGAAAATGGCATCTGTTGTTCTAATTTTCAAAAACATTCTAACCCCTCCAATTATTGTCCAATCAGTCTTCTTTCTATTATTAGCAACGTCTTTGAGTCTTTTATAAACAAATTTCTTTCATCCCATCTTGAGTCAAATAACTTGCTGTCAGACAATCAATACGGTTTTCAATCCTCTGGCTCTACAGTTGGCTTGCTAACTGGTGTGACTGAAATTTTTTTGTGCATTGGATGGAGATAAAGATATGTTATTAAAAAAGAAATTTTTAATTGCTTCTCTTTATTGTTCTCACCATTTTCTCTCTCCTGATTCCATTCTCTATTTCTAAAAATCTCTTATTTGTCCCTATATGGAATACTGTTGTCATATATGGGCTGGTTCTTCTAATGACGCTCTTTCTCTTCTAGACAAGGTCCAAAAACGCACTGTAAACACAGTTGGACCGTGGTCTATCTGCTATGCTTGAGCCTAATTCCCATTGTCGTAAATTTGCATATCTTTCTCTTGTCTACGAATACTACCATGGTAGCTGCTTAAAGGAGCTATCATCTCTAGTTCAAATAAAACTCATTCTCCCTTGACTTGTCATTCATCCAAGTCTCATTCTTTCACTGTATCTATCCTTGTGTGCTCTAAAAAATTTTATTCAACTATTTTTTTTTCCCACACTCCAACTCTTTGGAACTCTCTCCCATCTTCATGTTTTCCTGATTCATACAACCTTTTAAGTCTTCTGTCAACCATTTTTTTGCTCTATAACTCTATTCTTTCTTTCTAGTAACTCCCAACAAAAGGATATATTTTAAACAATGTTTAAGCAATTGTACAAGATTTTTGTTGCTTGATTTTGATAACTTATTTATTATTATAATATAAGTTTATTATTTATTATCATAATAAAAATTTATTCTTTATTATCATAATATAAGCAGAATCAACAAAAATAACCAGTTATAAGTTTTAAGTTCTATCTTTTTTTTTTAAATTTAACCATTAAAAATAAAACCATTTTGAAGATTTCATTGCAAATAATATTTTAATTTTATTTATTTTTATTATTTAATTTTAGACATTTTATTTTTAAGTAAAAAATGTTTGTTGTGTATTCAGTCCTGTAAACTAATTTACAAGATTGGTGGCATTTAGTCTAAAGACTTTTAACATATTAAAAACAACCAATGAGTAAATTATTTTTTACTATTTAAGTACGTTGTTTTTTAATAAAACTTTCATAAACAGTCATATACTAATAAAATGTTATTTTTTGTTGGTTCAATGTTTTTTTGAAATTAGTTGACAGTTGCTATTTTTTTGATCAAATTAAAGTTAGGGAAGAGGGGGGAGTATTGGTACAGGGTGAGCATTGGTACACAGGCAAATATTGAAGCATTTTTAATAAATTTTAACTTTTAAATGCTGATTACAAATGTTGTTTATAGTTGTTTTTTCTACAGAAAATATAGTTAGGTTTAAAGATTCTGTAGCTATACCTGTTCATTTATTTGTTGCTATGTTGATTTTGTCACTATGTTCATTTTGTCGCTATGTTCATTTTTTTCACATTCTGTTGAGAATAGTAAATAAACTACTTTTTTGAGCATTTACTATTGTTTTAATTAACCAATATTTAAGATTGAATTTAAATTTGCTATAAAAATAGTTCACTCTGAGGCACTCACTGGTAAAAGTTGAGGATTGGTACATTGAAATGGGAAAGCATTGGTACAGAATTTTTAATATCTGTTATGTAAATTGCATATATACTTGGTTCACTACAGTAATATTTTACTTTATTACACATTGCAAATATGTAGGTTATTAATTTATTTAATTCAGCTAGTAAATATAAGAAGTATTTGTTTTATTAATTTTTTTAATATTAAATTATTTATTTAGTAACTTTTATTAGATATTTAGTATGCAATTTCTCTTTATGTGTTAATGTTAACATGGGGTGTACAAATGCTACTCTTGCTGTGTACCAATACTCCCCATGTAAGGGAGCATTGGTACAAAAAACTACCAAAATTTAAAAGTATCGCACTTAACTATTATTTTTTGTAAACAAATTTAAATGTTGCTAACACATTAAAAAAATAGAAAAAAATATTATTTTGCGATATTTTCAATTTTTATTTTTTTTTCAATTTCTTGTCAAAAAGTGCCAATCTTCCCCCCTCTTCCCTAATTTTAAATATAAATTTTACATTTAATACAAAAAAATTTTCAATTTTAGAACTTATATTGCAAATGTTATCCAAAAAAGTTTCTTTGCTCCTACAAGGTTTTAAATTTTACTTTTTTTTTTTAAACTCAGATTATGTCATGTAACTTTTTAGCGATTTTAAAATTATTTTATTTCCTTTTTCTAGGAATGGAAGTGGTTTCAAATTTCAAGAGTTTTTAGCAGAAAGCAGCCTTTGTTTTAAAATACCTTGCATGTTGCTGTATGTAAAAATTCAACAAACATAAATTTTAATTTAAATGAAATTCAAAAATAAGTGAATAAATTTAAATTTATTTAATATTTCTCAAAGTATTCAAATAGAGTATCAAATGTTATATTGTTTAAAATAGTATTTTTATTTAAATAGAGTATCAAATGTTTTAGAAATTTTTAGAAAATGAATTTAAATCTGTTCCTTAATTTTTTTTGAAATAAAATAAAAGTTAAAAAGTGAGTTTATATTTTTAAAATTATTTTAAAAACTTTACCAAACCCAACAATTAAATAAAAATAATAGAATAAGCTAAAGTTTACCCTGCTGGTCTCAGATGAGCACTGTGGCAAGGTTACTGGTATTAGAAGCAGATGGGTAAAAAGAAAGAGAACAATCAATTTTTTCAGAAACAAGGTTAAATATTGAACACTGAAGTCTGAAAACAGTTTATTTAGTCATTCAGTGATTTTTTAAAATAATTTTCATTGATACCCCCCTAACCCCTTTAGAAGACCAGCAATATTAGAGAATATTGAATTTAAACAATTAGGTACTCTTGAATGCTAAATACATGGGAGGGGACATTTAGTAATTTTCAAAAAACTTTACCACCAAAAAGCTTATTAAGAACCCATGATTATTACCAACAATCATTTATTTCAGCACCATATTTTTTTTTTCTCAACAGATCTCAACAGATTCTTCTTTTTTCTCAACAGATTTTTTATTTATTTTTTATTTTTGTGTTAATCTTTATGAGTTTTAGTATTTTACATTTAAATCTGTAGATATCTTATTTATTTATTAATTCATACAAATTAATGTCTAATCTCAAATTCTAAATTTTAAACATTAAAGAAACAAACAAATTTACATTGTGTTAATTTGACGACCTGGTACCTATGGTAGCTGAAATATAGTGGTAGTGGTAGAGCACTAGACTAAAAGTTCCAAGTTTTATCCCCATCACATCCCTGGTAGTACCACACTCAATTTGTTTCTCTACACAACAGCCTTCTTTGTCAAGATTTGTGTTTTGGAATTTAGGAGCTGAGAGAGGGTTGTAAACTAAACCTAACCCTACCCTAACCCTAACCCTGACCCTAACATGTCCGACTTTGCATAAATGCTATAATACATCGTTTCTCTCTAGGCTACCAGCCCAATTTTTACGACAGATACAAAAGAACTTTGTTCTAAGTATCGATTTTGTTAACCATTCTTAAACCACAATAAAGCAGCATCCAATATGTAATTACAATAAAGTAGCCTCAACTATAGCTTCTATGTCTTAAAGTGGTAAATAACATAAAAAAAAAATACTGATGAAAAAACTGAATACTGATATCTTTATTTAACGATACTTTCTATTTAAGTAAAAAAATGGTTGAAACATAAATTGAGCTGTCACTAAGCTTTGGAGCTGTATATATATTTTTGTAAATATATATATATATATATCTATATATATATATATATATATATCTATCTATATCTATATATATATATATATATATATATATATATATATATATATATATATATATATATATATATATATATATATATATATATATATATATATATATATATATATGTGTGTGTATATATATATATAAATATATATATATATATATATATATATATATATATATATATATATATATATACATAAAGTTTATTTTATAATCTTTTTATGATCTTTTTTTATATAGAAAACTTTATATTTCTGAAGAAAAAGAAACAGTTTTACAGTTGCATGCATTTGGTCAGGTAACATACCATAAAAATGCAAAAAAAATTCAAGTGTATAACTATAACAAATAAGTATAAATATTATTTTTTTGTTTGTAGCTTCACCCTGAATGGGAAAAATTAAAGAAAGATGTTGTCCAATACAACTATTTTGATTTAATCCAACGCTATTCAAATAGTTTGGCTGATTTATGTCAATATGAAGGTAAAAAGAAATTTTAAAAAGTAACAACTACAAGTTTTATAATTTTGTAATTTTTATTGTTGCATTTAGTTATCATCTTTTATATTTTTCATGTTTTATGTTTTTTATACTCCCTTTATTTTGTTGCCAGTAATTATTTAAAGTCTGATTCTATACTAACTTCATAGAGTATTGTTTTTGTCGTTCGAAAATATTTTATAGCAAGAAATATTTCTTGTTATAAATTTTTTTTTTGTCATATGGCTTTATGTAAATTTGAATTTATATCTTAATAAATAAAATAAAAACACTGATGCATATATACATATAAATTCAAATGTTTTAATCCACACTCTGCTGTACCTATAGATGTATCAGATGATGAATATGTTCTAATTAAAGATCTAAAGAATTCTCATAAATGTTTATCTACAAATAAACTTTTAACACAAATAAAACTGAGCTTATGTTATTTGGAACTTTAAAAAGAATATTAAAATTAAAACCATTGAAAGTATGATTTACTTTACGGAATCATATAACTGTATTGGATGCATCTTTGATCGCATTGTAATCTCCTTATGCTTTATCTTTTTTCTTTTTTTTTTAATTTAGTTTTATTTAGGTTTCCCCAAGAAGTCCTTACGGTCTTATCACAGAGCACCGTAGATGAGCATTTAATTGGAAGTTCATGCCTCCTTCCTAACCGATGTCGCAAAATATGCCCAGAGGTGGGATTTGAACCACAAATCCTTTGTTTCTGAGGAAAGTGTGCTACCACTGCTCCACAACTGCTCATAAAAAAATTTAAAAAAATAAATTAAAAGTTAAATTCAGTACACTTTTTTCTGTTGAGCTTATCTATTTGCCTTTTAATGGTATCTGACTTTTATGGGTTAACCAGTATTTAAAAAAAAACATTCTCGAATCCTTGCCAATATATTTTAAAACAACAATTGCCA